ATTATCAATAAAAAAATAAATGATTAATATAAATTAAACTGCCAATTTTTATAATTAAAATATGTAGATTATAGATAAAATAATAATTAATAAAAATAATAAATTAAATAAATAATTATTAAAAAATAAAATATAGTGAAACTAAACGGACAGTTTTTGGCCCGTATTATGCTTAATTTTAGCCAGAATTATACTTAATTTTGGCCAAAATATGACCTGGACCCCGAAACTAATATTTTTAAAAATATTATTTATAAAGTTAAAAACAAAGGATAAGTTAAATTTAAAAAAAAGTACCAATTTGCTCAAATATAAAATATGACTTTGTAAAATCAATACAATTAGCTAAAACTCATAATTATGACTATTAATTAATTTTCAATCAATTTGCTCTTTCTAAAATTATGAGTTTAACCTAATTTTGATTGAATTTGCTAAAACAAATGTGAGTTATATATGTGATATCCGGGGTCCTAATAAACCTATAACTGATAAACATCAACCATTTAAAAAATTGCTGTTACTGGTACATAAAGAGGATCATCAAAATTGTATATTAATATCAAGATTTGTGAATTCATAACTTGCAATGAATGTTCAAAAGTATGTTGCTTATTTAGTGGAAGGCAGCTTATTGAACAAGATGATTTTGAGATTTAACATGCTATAAAGAACTGACCTTATACATATAGATCTACCATTTTTTCGTTTGATAAAATGTTTGTTCAAAAGAAAATTTGTTGTAAAATACTAATGGAATTTACTTACTATTTTTATCAAAAAGTCCATTCTGATCAGTACTACCATTGTGGATCAACAGATGATTTACAGGATAAGCCGAATTCACTAATAGAAAAATATAAATTAATACTTTCTTTATGTATAGGTTGTCAAGATAAAGAGTTGGATTTTTTTTGTTGAATGCCAATATAAACTAAAAAACAAAAGCATGACCAATAAATATTTTATTATAATTACAGTGATTATAACATATGCTGTAACTGTATTAATAATATTAATAATTTTGGTGGCAACTATAATTATATATATTATATTTAAAGGATAAATCTAATTGTAACAGCCTGTTACACGTCTTATTTGTAACAACCCCAATTTTATCCAATTAAAATTTAAGATCAGGCGTAATTTAAACAAAAACAAAAGATCAGTCGTATAACTAAGACAAAAGAATTTTTTAAAAAATTGCTTATAACTTAAAATTTTGTTTATGAAACTGTCTTAAATACATTAAGTCTGTCTCTTATACACATCTAGATGTGTATAAGAGATATATGTAACAGGCTGTTACAAATACATTTTTTCTTTAATAAAAAATGATTTCTCATTTATATAAGTAAACATTATTATAATGCTGACTGGTATTATAATTATATGCTCTTTAGTATAATTTTTTTTAGTCCTCCCCTCTCTTTTTTGATTAATATATATTATAAGAAATAGATAATTAACTTGACCTGATCTTATTTGATAAAATTTTTTTTTCAAAATTTAATTCTAGGTAAAATTAAATAATCAGCATAAAAAATATTCTTTTTTGAAATAAGATGAAATTTAAGCATTATATATAAAAGTTAAATTTAAGTTTACCTTATATTATTAATTAAATACAAAATTTTAATAATTTATTAATATATTACTATATTAATCCAAAGGGAAACTTTTTTGCTAACATTTATATTCATAATATTTTGAAAATGAAAAATTTTTATTTTATTTTTAAGCCTTCTTTTTTTTATACACTTTATATATTATTTAGTTTTATTTTTGTTTTCTTTCTTTTTTATGCTAATATGGTGCGGCGCACCTATACTCATCAATTAGTCCGAAATTCAAATTATAATAAAGTCACGTGAAATTCACGTGAAATGGTTTTTATTGGTCGTTAAGCAATCAGTTTTTAATTTCGCGGCGTAAAACATAAACTAATCAAATTTAATTTGGTTTAATTCTTCTATAACTTCGTCCGGAATTCTTCTATGAGATCTATATTTTTTAACTGCATATTCAGCTAATTTTCCACCAATTCCTTTTTGATATAAACTCATATAACGCCAAGCTTTTCTTGCAAATCTTCTAATTGTAATTAATGAAACTGATTCAAGACTTTGGGGTACAATTTGTTTTAATTCTACCCATGAATAATTACAGTTTTCTCTTGCATGCCTCTTTGCAGCCCCCCAATAACGCTCAATAAAGTTAAGTTCACAATGAAATTTTGGGTAAAAAATATATTTGTGACCTGCCTTTTCAATTATTTCAGCAATTGCACCCTTTTGAGCAAGAAAATCTGGTTCTAAGGACATTACTCGGCGCGCACAACAATTAATTCGATTTTCATCATCATTTTTTTCTTTGCATTCTTTGCATTCCAACATCAATCCACCATTAGGCCATTTTTTTCGTTCTTGTAATATTTGTCTCAGTCCCTTAGGCTGACCTCGAAGCTTTTCATTTGGATGGTCATCAGAAAATACCATTGATTGCAACTGGTTATCAGGACCCCAGTAAGTATCACGCATTTTTGGTTGCAAACCACCAGGTTTTAAGTTCATTTTTTTTGCCACTAATGCATCTTTTGCAAATATTGCATGATTTGAACTGTTATCAAATGCAAAAATGCCGATACAATTTGGATAAAGAACTTCAAATATAGGAATTGCTTTAATCTTTATCTGTTCAATGACATTTTCTGCCGTCCAATAACCTTCACGATCTTTACCTGGCTCTAAATATTCACGAGCTTCTACTGGAACATTAGGGTATTGTTCAATATTTTCTGGTTTCAATTTCAAACGTCCATCAACTTCTGTTAAAAACTCGCTAATCATAATTGATTTACCATTACCTTTTTTCCGTAAAGGCAATTCACCATTTTTGGCCCATACACCACGTAATCCATCATTAGAATAAAAAATACATTCATCATGCGTTACCAAAATGTGCTCTTTTTCACCTTCTGCTAAATCAGGTAAGATCCGATCCATATTTTCACCTTCATAACGTGACATAAGCCTCTCATATTCAAAAATTTGTTTTAAAAAATCATTCCTATATTGAACCACATCCGCACGTTCATGTCCATCATAAAATATACCTTGCTTTTGTCTTTGCTTTGTATATCCAAGAATATGAAGCCAGCGGACTGCAGTTGAAATATTTATAGTTTTTTTCTTATTAATTTCCAACTTAGCTAATAGATTGTGTTCTATAAACTCTTTGAATTTTATAGGCATGACTTTGTAATTTTGATCTCGAATCCAAGCATGACATTCTTCAGCAACATCTTCATCATCAATTAATCGAATGGTTTTTTGATGCTTTCCTTGATATGATATAGGAAGTGCATTATGAAGAAGCCAATAATTAGCCCAATTTCGTATTTGACGAGCTTTCCAAACTCCACCATCAACAAAAACCATACGTGCAACATTTAAACTTGCTTCCATTTTCCCACCACCATTTTCATCTGATAGTTTCAAATACTCAAATATTGCTCGTTTCTTATTGTATTCATTAACCTTCATTTTATTGTGCTGACTTCCTAATTCTTCTTTCAAAGCCTTCATTCTTGCATCAATATTAGTCACTTTACATATGTTTTCTTCCTCTGATCCACTTTGTTCACTTTCATTTTCAATATTATGATCGGTATTAGATTGAGCTTTATATACGGGAAAAAAACTTGTGATCTTTGAGGTGCCAAATGCCGCTTTGGTAAATGAGCCACTTGGTCCCCACTTATCATAATATGTTGATTTTGGTGTCTTACATGCACTATATGGACCTCGTTTCTTTTTTTCAAATTCGTTATTTACATCCCACTCTAAAAACATAATAAATAAATAAAAAATTATTCTGAAATAATTGCTTTTATTTCTTACCTAACTCAATCATCATCAATTTTGATTGAGTATTTTTTTCCTTTTCTAAATCAAACTCATCCTCCCATCCACTGTCATCATCATCTCCCCATTCCTCTGCAGAAAATTCTAACTCAAGAGTGACGTCATCGGTCCCTTCTCTAATATTCAATTCATATTGTGTTGGATGGTTGTTATTGCTCCTTTTTTTTGTTCCAAACCTACCATCTGATGTCCGAAACTGTTGCTTGTAAAGTTTTTGTCGTTTCTTGACGGGCGGCATTTTTAATTTAATGATAACAACGCGTGGGAAAATGAAGATTCTCAATATCTTCGTTACTGCGATTCATTATTTATACATGAAGATCAAAATTACATCATAAATCCATGTGAAATTTATCATTTCAGTTTTTCCGAATTTTTGATATTTACTAATAAAGACATATGATTTTACGCATTTTAAAACTTTAATAGTCCACCAAAAAATCATGTAATCTCAAATTAAAACCGATAGATTGAAAGAGAATAACCTAATCTATCATTCTATCGGTGTTAATTTTATAAATTACACAAAATGTAGAACTAGATAGATTTGGCAGTTACACGAAATTTTTGATGAGTATAGATGCG